TTCTGTAATTTCATCATGAAATAGTTTTCGGGCGTGTTGTCGACTTTATCAATCAATCATCCACTCGGCATAATTTAGATACGTTTCAGTAATGAATATCACTTTTTTCTGTTAAATAAAGATAAAAATTAATTATTAAAATTAAAAAATTAAATATCTACACATTTTTCGGACTACAAAAATTATGGGTCCTAGGCAAGTGCCTAGGTTGCCTAGGCCTTAGTCCGCCCCTGTATGTAACATACCGGTACTTGAGAGAGGAACATTTCGGATGGTTCTCTCCAATCTCGCTCCAAAGAACCTTCGCTGTCCAGATAAAAAAGAAAATGTTTGCGACTAACAGTATCGATAAGGGACCGTAAAAATATGCCCATGTAGCTTGTCGATCTTAAAGATTTCATTAAATATAATACCTGTTTGATATGTTACACATACATATACATGAAATTATAAAATGTAGTGTTTAATAAGAAAAATCCTTAGCTTGTTTCATAAAATTACAAAGGGATTTCGACAATTGTATCAGTTATTAGCTGCCATAGCGGACAAATCTATGAAAAACTATGAAATAGGAGGAAAAATCATATTTAAATGGAGATTTTTGTTTTATCGCAACATTTTTTTTATGAATATTTTTTTAAAAACAGTATAAAGTTCTTCGAAAATAAGTCATCAAAATTACCAGACTTGCATCGCTATTCGATGTTATTAGATTACATCAACACGCTACGTCATAGACAGTCTCGAAAAGTCACTAACAAAATTGAAGGAGCCCTTTTAAAGCATATTGATATAATATCTACTTATGACAATATATCACCATCTACTGGTATTTAAAATAAAGATACTTAAAAATGCAGGGAGGAGTTACAGAGATAGAAGAGTGATACTTAGTTTGTACAAAGAGTAACAGGCAATTATAGAGCTTTGGCTGCAACATAGAGAAGTAAATATTAGGAAGGGAGTCAGACAGGGATGCACACAGTCACCGCTACTTTTTAATCTATACATCGAAGACGCGATCAACATCATTAAAGACAGTACAACTGTAGGGATAGATATACAGGGGCACAAGATTAGTATGCTTAGATTTGCAGATGATATAGCAGTATTAGCATCTAGCAAGGAGGACTTAGAGATAGCTTTAAATAAAATGGAGACGATATTGAGTATTGTATGAAAATAAATAAAAGTAAAACAAAAATACTGGTATGCAAGAGAAGAAAAAGTAGGGAAAGAGGGAATATAAAGATAGGAGACGAAGCATTAGAAGAAGTGAGTGATTTTCGGTATCTAGAAAGAAACTGAATCTACGGCGAAGCTATTCCTACGTGGTAGGCATGTAACCAAATAGAACAAAAAGTTTATGGTGATAACTGATAAGTATTCTGTCGAAATCTTTAAACGCGGATCACGATTTTAATATCATCCGTTTCGATAGTTTTCTGCTGTCTATTATCCGAACATGTTACCGTAAAGTTTCCCCATATCTTGTGCCCAAGTCACTAGACGGATTAGTTTAATTCAATGATGATTTAGATACATAAAATTGTTTTAAAACATATGCTTAAATGAAACTTACTGTCAAACCAGCAAATATTGTTTCCGAATCCTGGCTTTATATGGCTGCCAGAAACGTGATGGGTTATCAAAGATACCACGAGTAGAAGAAATGGCATACCATAACCATATAAGCAGTAGGCACGTAGCGAATCCCTTCTATTTCTTGAAAACTGTGGATTTCTATAAGAACGTACTATTTTTATCAGTTTATGTAGATATAGTATTATAGGTTTGACAATGCTTACACTACTGTTTTCCATTTGTTGTAAGACAGTATGTTAAGCCAAAAAAAGGCAATCATGAAGAAAAAGTACATAGCGAATGGTAAAATAACACATAGGGTGTCGTGAATACTTGTGCTAAATTGAATTATGCTCATAACTATGAATGCCAGTGTCAATCCAAAGAGGGCGTGCATAATACATTTGCCCTGTAAAAAAATCCTTATTTTATTAAATAAAGTATCAAGCAAATTTATTCAGTTGATCGAATTTCGACTGCGGGTTGTACTAGAGTAGTGTAGTAATAATTAAAATATTTTACATATAAATAGGTAAATGTAAAGTTTGTTAGAACATTATTACAGTAGAACCTTGATAACTTAAACCTCAATAACGTTAATAACCTCATAAAATTTTGGAGTAGAAAACCTCCATTTAAAATAAGAGCCCTCTATAACTTAAACGAATAATTTGGGCATCGCACCTCAGTAAGCAGTGAAAAGTGGTTTGAATCGGGAGAAAGTCTTCTGTGTAAAAGACGAAAAATTGCTGAATTTCCTAATTTAGAAAAATGTTTGTTTACATGGTTTAGACAGTGTAGAAATATGTAAAAACATTAGTTTTAGTGGACTTATACTAAAGGTTAAAGCTGAAGAGTTTGCTAAGTCACTGGAAATCCATAATTTTAAAGCTTAAAGTTAAACCCTTAGTAAGTAAAAACCCCAATAACTCAAATTATTTTACATTTCCCTTGGTTTTTATGTTATCGAGGTTCTACTGTATATAGTAGTAATTTGTTTATTTAGATTATACATTTAGGTACGTAAATGTTAAAATTAGTTAGAGATATTTCAAATGATTGAAATTTTTAATATTTATGGTATTTAGAATTTTTAATATCTTCCGTAAACAATTCCAACCTGGCGGTTTTTCATTTAATGTCAGGGGTTTTGCAAAAGATAAAAAGTTTTGAAAATTAATTTAGATATTTACCTGAAGATCTCTCAGCGTTGGCACCAATATGTAGACTAAAATGGTTAGTGAGAGACATATACTAGTTATAAGGGCGCAAACCGCCCTAATGATATATGAGAGTTGAGTTTCGGAAAAGTTATATTCTACACAGAGTATGGCTACTTCCGACCCATTTTCGCTCAACTTCGTCATGCAATATCTACAAATTTCAGTTATGAATTATTTTTGAATCATATAATACCTAGAAATCTTGCAACTAAAAAATGCTAGTTATAGATATTTGGAGATATCGTTTAAAAAGCGTTTTACTCGATATTTAGCATCCAATAGAAAAAGGGCAGGACGCCTTGAGTATTCAATTGCGGTTGGGCGAAAATTCGAAGTGGCTCAGTCGATGACCTCTGGTGACGTACTGTGTTTCATGTCATTTACATAATAGGAACATAAATAATAATTAACAAAATTCTCAAAATCCTAACTAATCCTAATCCGAACTATATTCACACCTTAATTACTCAACAGATCATTATTGAATTTTGTACACTCATTGTCAGAGGTACAAAAAAGGATAGGGTACATCTTATCCGGAAAAAAAAATACTGTTCCCATGGGATAAAAAATTAGTTTCACAAATCATTTCGAACGGTTAGAGATGTAATGTACCAAAAGAATAAATAAACACTAGGCGTGAGCAAGATAGATTATTATTATTGAATTTGAATTGCGGTGTATCCAGGAAAAGGGAAGCGGCATATCTGTAACTGTTTGAAATGAGTTGTATGTGGTTGTCGGGCATATCAACTCGGTCTCTCGACATGACTAAAGCGGTTTGATAAATCCAAATGAGCATGCCTTTATTGCTCATATCATACGTAAATTGTTCGGATTTAAATCGAAGTATACAGTACTAACAACCTACATATTATTTTCATTATATAAAAATAGCTCTGCTTTCAATCACCTTGAATGAGAATCTGAAGTTTTCAATACCCAAATTTAATTATATTATTTATGACCATTATGACATTATCAAAAAATAATTGTGTATTTATAGTTAATAAAGAAATCGAATAGTCATATTTTGCATAATTGAGACATAATAAATGTATTTTTTTAATGTTTATATTACTTCGAGTTTATTTGACATGTCTCATCATTCACTCGGATATTTCAGATTTTGTCATCTTCATTTTCGGATATTTCAATATTCTCGGTGTCGGAAATGGCATATGTAAAGGAATTTTTGCTGACTATCTTGCTGACACACATAAAATACATCTTAATACTCGCTCAGTAACCATGAACACCATCAGTAACATCTTTAAGAATATATTTGATACGTAAAAAATGTTTTCAAAACGAGTTTGATACTCCCTAGCGGCCATCTTAGGTGTTGGTGCGTAAATTCCTTCAACCAAAACTGATTGTTGTAAATTGTCATGTACCTGTCATGTATCTGTCCTTGTTTTCTCCTTTATTTATGACTTTTCTGTATTTTCGACCAATATTCGCCTATCCTTCTCTTGCCGGCTACTAATACTTCTATGCTGTCTTTCTCTATCTCACCACCTTTTCACTCTTAAGTAGCGTGCCATCAGCACCATCAAAAGAGTACGAAGGTTGCTGTCAAGCCGCACGTTTCGTTTTCACCGTTTTATTCAGCGTTCTTTTCTCACCGTGTAGTTTCACCAAGTGTACGCCGATTGAAGGCATTGTATATATTGTATGTAAATCAATAGAGTCTACAAAAGATACAGTGTTTTTCAATCCACAACAAAAACCTACAACACTTTAATTAGGATTGTTAGGAAGTTTCATGCGATAAAAACGCCGCCGATCCAGATTCACCGAATCGTATGAAACACTGATTTTATATTAATGTACATCAACCCTGAAAGTTTGGTTAAAAATTTTGGTGCGATCGCGGTTATCGACATGGCCAAAAATTACACTTCCATGATACAAGTAGTGCTATAGAAAAATGGCCACTTCCAACTTTACCAAAATTGTACGCATCAATTTTCAATATATTCAAGCACATCACCACGGGTCATCGATTGATCCCACTTCTAACCATCGCACAGCCACAATTATTTATAATATTAAACAAATATTAAAATATTCGAATGAAGAAAGGCGACAATTTACTTTTGAAAAATATTCCTTATGCAATTATTATGTTTGAAGAATTATTATTAGTGAAGCCTTTTATTCATTAACGTTTTCCTTGTTTTAATCAAAGCGAAAACAAAGTGAAACTCACTTTCCCAGTTCATAAGTTTCGTCTGCAAACATTAGATAGTTCTTTTCATCAAAAGTAAAATTCTCCAAATTTGGATCGAGAATTGCAGCATTGTCGCATGATATTGTTGGCTTGCTACCATCTGCGCATTGTTTTATTCGTTTCAATTGCACGCCGTTCAAGCAACATTGGTTCGTAGTTTCTGTCTCTGCAATTACCACGTATGCAGTGATAAATACGAAATAGGAAATTGCTTGGCCAATAGACATGATGACAATTCCACTAAAAATGAAAAAAAAATTATAAAGAACTTTCAGTTGTTGTTTCGGCCAGCAATTTATTGAAATGTGGATTGTGATCTCGAACTATTTAGTTCTCACCAGCAAACCATGGATAGTTTAAATAAATTACGATCCAAATTTGCTTATATATCACCATCTGTAGGTATTTAGTATTTTATAACGCTAAGGCCTTATAAAGATAAAGATATTAGGTACTTTTCAAACTGACAAATTTAGAAGAAAATTTGTTGGTCAATAGAAAATCTTGAACTATACAGACAATTACACTATTGCCTACGTTTCGCTTAACAGCACAGGAGTTTTTTCAAGGTTCTGGAATGGAATTCTTTTTGTAGATTGCGATAGTATTTAAAGAGTTGACCAGCAAAAGTTGTACGTGACACAAAAGTTTTAAACTTTCTCTAAACTCACTGCTTGTATTAGAGAAACATTTGTTGGANACAAAGTGAAACTCACTTTCCCAGTTCATAAGTTTCGTCTGCAAACATTAGATAGTTCTTTTCATCAAAAGTAAAATTCTCCAAATTTGGATCGAGAATTGCAGCATTGTCGCATGATATTGTTGGCTTGCTACCATCTGCGCATTGTTTTATTCGTTTCAATTGCACGCCGTTCAAGCAACATTGGTTCGTAGTTTCTGTCTCTGCAATTACCACGTATGCAGTGATAAATACGAAATAGGAAATTGCTTGGCCAATAGACATGATGACAATTCCACTAAAAATGAAAAAAAAATTATAAAGAACTTTCAGTTGTTGTTTCGGCCAGCAATTTATTGAAATGTGGATTGTGATCTCGAACTATTTAGTTCTCACCAGCAAACCATGGATAGTTTAAATAAATTACGATCCAAATTTGCTTATATATCACCATCTGTAGGTATTTAGTATTTTATAACGCTAAGGCCTTATAAAGATAAAGATATTAGGTACTTTTCAAACTGACAAATTTAGAAGAAAATTTGTTGGTCAATAGAAAATCTTGAACTATACAGACAATTACACTATTGCCTACGTTTCGCTTAACAGCACAGGAGTTTTTTCAAGGTTCTGGAATGGAATTCTTTTTGTAGATTGCGATAGTATTTAAAGAGTTGACCAGCAAAAGTTGTACGTGACACAAAAGTTTTAAACTTTCTCTAAACTCACTGCTTGTATTAGAGAAACATTTGTTGGACTTCGTTCCTACCGGATGTCTCACGACACCACACGGCTTTTTCAACAAATATTAAAATTGTTTACATAATTTTATTTGTTCTAATATGTGTGTTCCATATACGCCTTTCAAAAGTGTAATGTATTTTGGTAATTGTCATTGTAGTGTACTAATTGTGAAGTTTTTAATTACTATCTGTTAGCAATCACCATATTTTTAACTTTATACTTACCTTGAAAAGGCCCTTTAAAAGTGTGCAAGTAATTGTGTAATAAAACGAGTTTTTCATCTGAACTGATCAGATTCTGCCACAATATCAGGAAAAAATGGAATTAGAAACATTTGTGTGTCATTCCCTTCATCTAATTTTAATGAGTGGTGTATAGGGCGGAAGGTCTTCTTGAGCCTTCTGGTAGTTAGTGAAGGAAAGAAGAGTCGGATTTGATGAAGACAGTAGTAGAATGAAAGGGTATCTGTGGAATGCTACTACCCTAGAACTTTGATTGGAATCAAATCAGTGTTTTCGCAAATGGATGGGTGGTTAGGTTAGGTTAGGTTAGGTTAGGTTCATTCAACCATTCCGGTCATCTGACGCTGATGTGTTGGCTGTTCCATCGCTATGCGGTGGGAAATGAGTAGTGCGTTAGGCTATTTTTAGCCTCCTGGAATGGATGGGTGGTGGTTAGGTTAGGTTCATTCAACCATTGCCGTTATCTAATGCTGGTGTATTGGCTGTTCCATCGCTATGCGGTGGGAAATGAGTAGTGCGTTAGGCCATTTTTAGCCTCCTGGAATGGATGGGTGGTGGTTAGGTTAGGTTAGGTTCATTCAACCATTGCCGTTATCTAATGCTGGTGTATTGGCTGTTCCATTGCTATGCGGTGGGAAATGAGTAGTGCGTAAGGTCATTTTGAGCCTCCTGGAGTGATTGGGTGGTGGTTGGGAAGAGAAAGATGAGACGAATGAAATGAAGACAGAAGATAAATGAACGATTATCTGTGGAATATTACAACCCTAGTATTTCTTAAAAGTGGAAACCACAGATCAGGGCATCGAACCCATGTCCTCCCAAAATTCTAAGAGACGTCGCTCAGTGTCCAAACTAAACATCAACGTAGCTAACATGTAGGTAGTGGGCGCACAAAACAATTAAATAAAGAAAATTAAGTTTTCGGTCAGCAATTTGCTGGTTTCTGTAAGGTCTGGCCAGTTGTAAAATACCGGTATATGTACTTCCGGTTACTTGACTAAGATAATAATAATAGAACATTTTGAACTTCTATCAGATCTTCTAAAAGAAAACATTTAGTGTTTTAGAAATAAATGAATTTGTAAATTTTAAACGAAGGATGGGGTAATTCCGATACTTTACTTTTACTGTAGCTCAGTAAGATTGACAATCACATCAATTAAGAATACGTAAATATTAACTTTGTATATATTATCTACTAATTTTAGTTCGAATTTGTGTCTAACTCTGCTGATTGTAAAGTTCTACAAAATTTAGCATAAACAATGCTTTTACGATCAATACAATGCAAATATCAATATTATATTCTATATTTGCTTTAGTGTAATGTTTAATTTATCAAATTGTTCGTATTTTCGTGGCTATTTTAGGCTATCTACTCTCAAGATTAGACTTTCTGGCTTTAATTGACTATTGAAACATCTAATTAAAGGATGGAACTATGCCTTAGCCTTAGGATGTTGTTATTTAATCGCAATGTTTAGTCAAAAATGACCAACCCTTTGACAAGTTTAAACTTAAACTTAAATGTCAATTTTCGGTCGTCGCGTTCTAGGGTCATAGATAGGATGGGGTAGTAACTGTAGCTAAACTTCCATCGGTGACATATGAAGGTATCTTCCTGTATCTAATTAAATTATCCTAATAGATAAGGTACCTAATTTGCGTCATTTATAAAGCAAAAAACATTAACATTATATTTGTCTTTCAAATTGCTCTCACAAATAATCTGCGGATTTTCAGAGGCCTAAAAGTGACGGTTATTATTTTGGTCAAAAATCGGGATCTTCTTGTGTTCAAGTCAAAATCGTTTCACAAAATTGAATACGTTTTTTGGCATATCCTGTTTGAAGTGAAGAAGGATAGTTGAACTTGAAAGGATGAAGTCCAAATTCTTTAAGTGGAAGATCGTAAAATCGCATGAAAATATGCCCGAAACATTTATTGCATTATCTTGGTCTGAGGTTGTAGGTTTTGGTAAAACTCCGTTCTCAGAAATCCGATTATATTCTAATTCTTTTTAATTTATCCCTATTCACTTGAGATGCGAACGGAGCAAAGTCTACCCCTCTGTAGAAATATGATATTTCAGTTTTTTTTTTACAATAATGTTTGTCTATTTCACCCTTCTCGTTTCAAATAACGAGCCCCGCCGTTCGCGAATTCAATTAATTATATTCTGCTCCACTTTTCCGTAAAATTTTTAGTAGTCGAATTACACTCTCTGTATTTAGACCCTATTTCTAGTGGTTTGTCTACCTATCCCAACAGATTGCCTACGTTTCGCTTAACAGCACAGGAGTTTTTTCAAGGTTNATCTACGTATAAAGAGTTCGAGTACCACAACTAAATATTTTTCACGAATGAGTTGAGTTGAACGATTTATTTCGTTTAGCCGATTAACTACACTTTAGTAAGAGGATTGGAATGAAAATGAAATGATGCAATCCAACTAAACGAGTATGCTTGATGTTGCTACCATAATTGACAAACTTGTTTAAAAAAAAAGGTGAGCCTGAATTAGTGTTTACGCGTAAGAAGTGTAACTCCTTTGGATGTTATATTAAAGTAGTATTTTTTAATTAAACTATTACAATAACTAATTACTAAACACCAGAAAAATACAACTTTATTTCGAGCGAACGTATGGAGAATATTGGTGTAGTTTTGTTAAAGAATTTTATGCTTCCACCATAAAAACCGCAGAGAGGAATTATAAATCAAAACAAACACAAGCGCATATGCAATACATATACAGTACAACGTAGGCGCGATTTGCTGACAATTTGTCGAAATGGCACCACCAGGGGTCACACGTGGCGCGTGACGCGTGATGCATGATGCGTGATGCTATAACTCATCCTAAAGTTACACTTTTCGGTTTTATACCCTAATAAATTTCCTTCAATCCTTCGATAAAGGAAGTTTCACTTCAAAAATTATAAAATTTTACGTGTGTTAGTAAGTACGAAATAAAAATCTTTAAAAATAGGATATTTGGTCCTGGCGAGTTAATAAAATAATGTTTCCTGTAACTGGCCTTACATATGAAACAGTTATTTTCGTTTCCTCTTTTATATTTGGTTGCCTTTCATGGTTTCTGTGTTTTAATATTCGTTAATGTAGAAAACCAAATCTCGTATAAACAGGTACGTACCGTATCGATAATAAAATTTTAATAGCTTTTTGAAAAAGAATCTAAAATTCTTCAACTGTTATTTCAAAAAATTGTATTTTTTGAGTACAATTCGTTAATGTCATCACTACTGTTTTCTGTATTAGTCCGTTAACGAAAACATATAACTTAATCTATTGACTGCAGAAAATTTCGACAATTTGTAGGGTTCTGTATTTCAAAAGAAAAAAAAAAACGAATCCTTACTGGATTACACGTTGTCCTTGTCTCTGGCATATGTCAAGACCTGCTTTCACTACATTCCCTCGGAGCTGTGAAAAAATCAAACTTCTAAGTCAACGTAATTTGACACTCACAAGGGAATTAAAACCTACAGGGCACTTCCCGTTGACCTATATGATCGTGAAATTTGCCAAGAAGCAATGTAAGCACAAGTAAATAAAAAAATTCGGAAACCATAATAGTAGATAGTAGTTATATCAGAAAAAATTATTTTTTAATTGTAATATTGTAATAATAGGTTTTGGGCACTAAAATGGCGGGAAGGAAATTAAAACATACTCGGGAAAAATCTTCGAGACTCGATTCCAGTAACAGACGAACCATTTACATACTTACAAATTTGTATAAAACGCATTTAGACGGTTTTTTGTATCGTTAGTTAGGTTTCAGAATTCTTATACAAAACGTATACTTATTGTACATAACTTTTTACAAAACGTGAAAAGAAAGTATATATGTATTCTGTGCTGTAGTATATAGATATTAGTCGTATTCGATCACTTCTATGATTAATTCAAAAAATCAACCGTTACCTAATCTAAAGCTACAATCTTTTTTGGAGTGATTTTGCCTGTAACCCTAATTCTGTAGATACTATAACATTCGATTTTTGATTTGGTATATCAAATGAAATACTTTTGTGTTATTTTTCGTTTTAATAGTTGATTTTAATAACTTCGAACATTTTTACTCTTACATGGCATTTGTTTAGTGATATCGTCACTCCCTGGTTCCCAATAGGGTTAATGCTGGGTACCAAATTACTAGGTATCTGGCAAAACCACTATTCGGTGAATCTCTACTTTCTTAAAAATTTCTACTGATCTCAAAAATACGAAAAATTGAAAATTTTAGAATAAAGCTTTGTGTAGAAATTATTTATATTGAATAAAAAGAATTTATAATAATAGATTCCACATTTCGCATTATCAACTATACCGAATGTATAATTTGGGATTGAAAACAATAAAAAAACTCTACACGAAATAGTAATTTTTAATGCAGTATGGATTGGATAAGAAATCTTTTCGAAACTTTTTATTTGTTAAAGTTCGGAACTCATGGCGCACGAGTCAGCTTCGCACATGGCATTTGTATCTTCCATACCATTTTATTGACGTTATTTACATGATTAAAAATATCACATTAATATATTAGATACCGTGATAACTATTTGAATTTTTAATTAACTTACTAATTTACATATGTTTTATTGAAAGCATTCTATTCGTATGTTGTATATATTTCGCCGTATTAGGCCATCGTCAGGAGTGTCTAACTAATAAGTACTTAGTACTAATTTTGGTGGAACATATTCTGTGCTCTAACTCATCCTCGGAGCACTAGTGTTCCGTACAACATCGATTAAGAACCACTGTTTTTTAGTCCATAATGAGATTCTAAAGAATTTATCGAGCACTTATTTATTAAGTGACTGTGTTAATATGTATGCATTACACAGAATTTCCTAATAGAAATCAGAAGTATTAGGAATAATAATAATATATTATTATCATCGATCCCAGTGTATCCATAATTAATTATCTAATGTTCTTTTACAATATATTTTATTTTCTTGTTTGGTACGATACAATTGTGTTCAGTCCAGGCAATATGGGTGGGAAAAATTATTCGGATTAAATTTTTGTTGGGAAGATTCTCCTTAATACGATGTAGGTTACCAACCAGTTATCCGGTCGGATATTATTTAAAATACAATTGTTTAATCAAATGACAAAAAACAACTTTTTTGGTCGGAACATTTTTTTTATATTCTTTGGTTTAATCTCGATAAAAAAAGTCTTTATTTTTTTATGTAAAGTTAATATTTTTCGAGTTATGAATTTTTGAAAGTCTGAATATACATGAAAATCGCTGTTGGAAAAACTGTAGTATTTGGAACATGAATTAAATAGCGCCACCTATAAATATGATTAGCCTAGGTCAACAGGAGTCCAATGATGGCAAAAGCAGCTGTCACTTTTAAGGTTAAAAAGTTATTAAGATAACTACCTATCTTGCCTTCTTTTAGTATGTTGCAGAGGTGATTATGCTGATCGTTTTGATATATATATGTTAAGCACGGAAATGATAATGAAGCATGGTTTTCAAACTTTGAAAAATAAAATGTGGTGGCCTATGATATGTAAAATAGGAAACAATGCGGCAGGCTGTTTGGAGATGTATATAGGTTGTTAGGTTAGGTCAGGTCAGGTTTGGAGGTGTATATGCATTGGTTACGTCATTGTTAGGTAGGCGGATTTATGACAGACCGGAGTTTCTTCAATGCCCCTGCCCTGATATGTGGGAATGTCGATAGGTTATAAATCTACCTAATCAAACGATGACGTCACCAATGCATATGCACCTCCAAACCTAACCTAACCAAACAATGACGTCACCAATGCATATGCACCTCCCAACCTAACCTAGTGACATTATTCCAATATATCAGTTCTCCTCCGACTGGTAGGAGCATTAAGGATGTTTGGGAGGTATGTCAAAATGCTACGACACAAAAAAAAATTTGGAAGAACGTTCCTCATTCAATTCTAAAACTCTTGTAAAAATTACAAATCGATTCACTGAACCGTTAAAAAGTTATTGAAATTTTAAAAAATTGTAATTTCACACGTCTTTTATGGAAATTCGTTAACTGGACAGNCCTTTAACAATCTTTTTAGAATTTCTAAATTAATCGCTCGCGAGCATAGAAATGACTTCTTTCTATTAAAGGCGACTCGACCCTGCGCTTCCTCTGCTTTATATTCCTACTACTCCTTCTGTCCTGACTTATTTGACTTTAAATCTATCCCTACAGTTGTACTGTCTTTAATGATGTTGATCGTGTCTTCAATGTTTAGATTAAAAAGTAGCGGTGATAGTGTGCATCCTTGTCTGACTCCCTTCCTAATATTTACTTCTCTACACAACTCTATAACTGCCTGTTGCTCTTTATACAAACTAAGTATCACTCTCCTATCTCTGTATCTCATCCTTATATTTTTAGGTATATTTAACATCCTGTTCCATTTAACATTATCAAAAGCCTTTTCTAAATCTACAAATCCTATGTACCTACTCTTTCCTTTTTCTATCATTTTCTCTATTATTAACCGTAAAGCTAGATTGACCTCCTGCGTTTGTTTATTTCTCCGAAACCCAAATTGATCTTGATAGTTCTTCCACCCTTTTTCCATCATGCTGTGCTCAGTTCTAGTTAAGATTAATAGTTAAGTATATGGAATGTTCTATATAGTTTTAGAAAAATGCGAAGATAAGCTCAGAATAGGAAAAAGTGGAGCTGAATGTCCAATTGTCCAACCAATCTTAGAACTGACGACTTTATGATAATGACGTACATAGTAAGAGATCTAACAACCTTCAAACGGCAACCTCAAACGATAGTGAAATCTGTTACTAGACGTTTTATGTTTAATTGAAAGAGATCCCGTATACATGACCCAAGTAGTGTTTTCAATACTAAAATAATTTGCTTTATTGGTGTTTGATCTTCGCTTAGAAATTAGTTTTCTAATGTGTATTTATGTATAACGGTTATGAGAAAAATTTTAAATAAGGCGGATGTGTGAATATCTACATTTCTTTACAAGGATTTCCCGATATGATATCGGGTTATTTTAAAAAGACTGCTATATAGCATCTTGGAAAAATCCGGTGATACTTCCGAAACCGCATTAATATTTCGAGAAGAGAACGTGTCATTCTTGAAAGTATTATAATTGTCTGAAAAAAATACAATTTTAAAGTTTCAACTATTATTTAAACATTAAAAGTTTTACGCTCATTATTAATAAATATTGAAACTAAATAGTTT